GGCAGGATTCCGTCAAGAAATCCCGGCACCTGGGACTGCAGCAGCCTTCGGACATCCCCCACTACAAATCCAGCAAGCTGGAGGACAGGGCTGCCGAGCCCGCCGGCCACCCCGCGCCGCCCGAGGAGCAGGTTCACATCGACACGGAGGTTGAAGCTCCTCACGTGGGCTACCAGTACGGCCAGGGCTCCGAGGGGATGCCGAGGGGCTTGGCTGTGTCGCAGCAGGAGCACGAGTCGCCCCGTCCCTCTGGCAAATCCAAGTCCTCCAAGGCTGACGAGCAGTACGGGAACATGCCCTCCATCCTCGGAGTCATGGGAAACTGGGCCGAAGGTGAGCAGGGTACCTGGGGTGTTAAACCAACCTTTCGAAGTAAATCTAGCTTGTGACCTTTTGGGATATTTTTAACCTCATTTTCGTAGAATCCCAGAATGGTTTGGATGGGAGGGGACCTTAAAGACCATCTCCTTCCACCCCCCCTGCCATGGGCAGGGACACCTTCCACGAGGCCAGGTTGCTCAGAGCCCCATCCAGCCTGGCCTTGCCTGGGCTGTGATAACACAGCTAATGGTCCACTCCTCCTTTGTTACACTCCTGCGTAATTTACAGGAAAACACAGGATATTTGTGCTCGAAAGGACCTACGGTAATATTTTTTTTAATAAGTAAAAGCCACGTGCTATTCTGCTCATAAAATTCCTTTTCCCGAAGCGTGACATGACGTGACACATTATGACTTCGTTTTTGGGGTTTTAATTTATCTCCTGACAGACGACCTGGCCAGGATGAGGTTCAAGTGCCCGTTCTGCAGCCACGTGGTGAAAAGAAAAGCCGACCTGAAGCGTCACCTTCGCTGTCACACAGGAGAGCGCCCGTACCCCTGTGAGGCCTGTGGGAAGAGGTTTAGCAGGCTGGATCACCTCAGCAGCCATTTTCGAACAGTATGTACTTTTAAGAACTGCCTGATTTTTTGTTTAATGTGCAAACCCTGCCTAATTAAAACACAGTGTGAGCGTATCTGGTTGATAGAATCGACTCCCGTAAAAGAAAGAGGTAATAGAAAATTAATTTGGTTTTGCTGCAGGCAATTTGAAGCCTAATTTGTAGGAAAGGGGGGGAGGAATCTCTTGGTTAGTTGGTGGTTTGCAGAGGTGCTGTAAAGGAGCTTCAGTGGGCAGCTACAGTGCCGGGGATGGGGCAGTTTAACGTTTGATGTCCCTCAAAGCGAGTTAACGCCGCTATTTTGACGCTACTCCCACCCTGCTTTTTTTTTGTCACCTTTGTGGGTGTTGTATCCAAACTATCCGTGTGGCTTTTCCCAGATCCACCAGGCCTGCAAGCCCATCTGCAGGAAGTGCAAGCGGCACGTGACGGAGCTGACGGGGCAGGTGGTGCAGGAGGGGACGCGCCGGTACAGACTGTGCAACGAGTGCCTGGCCGAGGCCGGCATAGACAGTATCCGCATTGACTTGGAGGCTGAGGCACCCCTGGAATTCCCACAGGACGGGGACAAGGATTCCAGGTGGCACTACGGCGAAGACAACAGGTCTGACGTGGAGATAGTGGAGGACGGGTCGACCGACCTGGTCATCCAGCAAGTCGACGACAGCGAGGACGAGGCGGACGAGAAGGACGTGAAACCAAACATTAGGTAGCTGCAAGAGGAGAATCGGGAGTCCCGCGGAAGAGGGAGAATGTACTGACCACACACACCCTCCACCAGCTGTTGTTAATCCTACAGAGACATGTGGTTGAACAGGTCCAGGCTTGCATGTATTTATGGACGCGCCGCTGAGTCCGGTCTGGTTTGTTCTCAGAACCCTCAATACTTTGCTTCACGAGAAAGAATCCATCCTTAAATAGTGGATGAAGGAGGAAACTGCAGTATTCCATGGATAACTGTTTATAGCAGACGGTGGGGCACGTCTCAAAGCCTTTTTTCAAGGGAGTGAGGTCTCAGTATTTAAAAACAGTCGCAGAGTGCTGCGAATTGCCCACTTTTTACACTTGTAGGGATGTGGGGTTTATGTCATGGGGTGATAAACAAAGTGTAAAGACCCCTCCCCAAACCAGACAACCTCCCTTCAGTATTCAGAAGGGAAGAGAATCTTCCATGAAATTCCATGTTATTCTTCATAAGGAAAAAGGCAGCTAATTAAGAAAGAGCATGTAAAATGTTTTGGCACTTTTGTCTGGAAAAGGACTCCTGTAAAATTTATTAGAATAAGGCAAATCTTTAGCAGATCACTCGCTCAAGACCTGTTTCTTTACAAGAAAATAAGCACATGAATGCTAGTCCTAGTCAACACATCAGAGACAAATTAATTATAAATATGGATCGTTAATTGATGCCAGTAGATGTTTCGTTCTCAAAATTGGGCTCTCAGACTGGGCTGTTTTAATAAACACTAATAAAATACTCTCTTTTGTTAAAAAACCTCTCAAAAGTGCCAGACAGGGTGGGGCTGTTGGGGTTGTCCTGTGCAGGGCCAGGAGCTGGACTTGGCTGATCCTTGTGGGTCCTTTCCAACTCAGGATATTCCATCCTGTGAGCCTTCTCCAGCCTGTACAACATGAGAACAAGATGTGCTGGAAGTTCTAGGCATCATATTTGTGTAATTTCACCTACAATTAGGCTACAAGAGGTCGGGAACGATGAAGAAATTTGACTCCTCTAACAAAATAAGCCACTTTGTTGTGTTGCTTAGTGAGTTTATCTTACCCAGCACTGTAAAGGAGAGAGGAGCAGAAGATGCTCCCAGGGTGCTGCTACTCTGCATTTTTTGGACAGACCTGAGTGTTATTCCAGTTCTTCATCCCGGGATCATGGGACTCAATGGCTGTAAGACTTAGAAAACTCCAATTTGTTTCTTTTTTTACAGCTTTGTAAGCATGTTTGGCTGAACCCCGGGGTTTATTACAGAACAATCCCATATGTATATATATATATATATACACTATATAATCTTTCCCAGGGACAGCTGAAAAAAATCACTATTTTATTTTTATTCATGTAAAAACTGTATAACCTTATTAGTATCATCATGACCAGAGATTTTTTTTTTTTAGTACCATCATTCCAGGCTGCAGGTGACCAAGGTCTCTTAAATGATAACTCAAGTGCTTCCTTAGTGCTCAGTGTAAGCACTAAGCACCCTCCCCTCAGACATTCCAGGCTGATGGGAATCATCCTGCTTGGATGTCCCAAGGAAACAAGAAATGGTTTTTTTATCAGTCCTACAAAAATCACCATCACTGGCTTAGGACTTGGAGGGGAGAAGTTACAAAACTTTCTGATGACCACCATGAGAACATCTTTACAAACAAGACTTACACTGGCCTCGATTTTATTTGACACTTGGTCAGCAGCCCAGAAATGGACTCGGTGTGAAAACAGACATTTAATTTTCTTGGAGCTTTTTTTTTTTTTCCACTCCTGAAATGCCTGTTACCAAACGGCTCAGAAATATTCCCGAGCAACCTGAACTAAATCAGAGAACACGGAAATATGTCAAAGAATATGGAGCGACTTGGATCAAATTCCAAGATGTTTCCCTTTACCTTAAACAGTGTGACAATAAATTCCAGGTATCAGTGCCTGCTGTCCCCAGGATAAAAAGTGACTGGGCTTAGTCTGTGTGTGTTTGGGATGGATTAAGGGGAGGGGAAAATAAAGTGTCTCTCTAGGCCTGAAATCTTAACTGCCAACTGTAAAGGTCAGAATATTAAGCGTTTCTTGATAGTGGGGGTGTTTTTAGAAGCAGAGGGATTTTTGGATCAATACTCAATTTAATTAGATACCATAAATCTAAGAAGACTGAGGACCAGATGCTTCAGAACAAGACCTGAAGTGGCTCTAAATGGGCAAGTGGAACAGTCTATCCACAGGAAGACAAATTAATTTTTACACACAGGCAGATAAATTGTTGATTTTCCAGGCAAACAAGGGCTTTTACTGGTTTTATATGTGGATGTTATTCTCAGTAGCATAACTAGGTATCTGTAGTCATTTTTAAAGTATCTTATTAAGCTTGGATTTTTAGCTCAAGACTGCGATTCCCACAGGTCAATTACGTTTTATATTTTTTTAAAGTTACCATTTTTTGCATTTGTTGCCTTAATTTTGGTTGTTGTTTCCTTATTTTTGTATTGCAAGACGAGATAAATGTTAAGTGCCTTCTGTTTTCTACGTCCTTCATTTTACATAACCAGTCGCACGTTTTCCTTGTTTTTCTCGAAATGAAAGTATTTCTTTTATTTTTGCCTCCTGCCATTGCTTGATTGTCTTCTTCATATCCCTGTGAGGATCATGTACCACTCAGCAGCAGAGTAACATTTTCCTTCTTTTCAAGGAGGAAAGTAAAGACCATATAGGGATGTTCCCACTGACTTTAATTTTTTTCCTTGCATTTCTTTCACCTTCATGTCTCTCAGGCACAAGGTTTAGTGCTGGACTTGATCTTAAAGGTCTTTTCTAACCCAAACTTGTGATTATTTTTGCTTGCCTTGTGTTTATTGTTGTGTTCACAAACCACAGTCAAGAGTGAAGAAAAAAGCCATCATCATCCTCTGATTAGTGTCTCACCTCTAACTGTCCCTGTTTTCTGGCAATATCTTGCCATCCTTTCAAAGGCTGAAATGCTGAATTAAAAAATTCTCTTTGCCCCTTTTCCAGGTATTTCTTACAGAATTCTCCCTGCCATGTAAAACTATGACTTGTGTGATGCTTGATCAGTTCTTTCACATCATCTCCCATCTTTTTGTTTTCCATTAAATTACCTGAACATCTGTATTTACTATCCAAAAAAATGTCACTTGTCCTTACCCTAAAGGTTCAACTGTTGGGTCCCTTTGCTCCCCCAGTTAATTAGAAAAAAAAAAAAAGGGCAGACTCCAAAAAAAAAACAACCCAGCCTCAGAATTAATCTCCCTTTCCAACCTTTTGATTTATATTCTATTCCAGTTCTAAAGAATTGAGATTAAAATAATCTTTAAAAATACCTCTAAGCCCGCAGAGCTCTCACAGAGGACTGGCACTGACTGCTGCAGGTATCCTTCCAGGAATGCTCCATCCTTCAGGATTTTGGGGTGCCTCTCAAATTTTCAGTGATAACTTAGGGAGGAAAAAAAAAAAATCTCTGTTGGATATAAAATGATGGAATATACATTTCTTCCCTGAAGCATCTGGTCACTGCCAGAGTTACCCCATTACCACACCAGTATCTACCTTTCTTATATTTTAATTATTGTTGGTTGGAGGCAACACATGTAAGAATGAAATAGAAGAAAAAATTCTCTAATTCTGCCCCAAAGGGTTGAGTTTTGCAGAAAAGGATCTTATAATCCTCCAGTCCTTGCCTCCAGACTTTTTCCATTAGGTCCAAATCTGTACCAATGTTATGTCTGTTGAGTGATGGGTATAACTCGACAAGCTACTAAGAAAATCTTATAATAGCATTTAGTTAAATATTTTCTATACTGTTTAACTTAAAGCCCTTCCATGTTGGGAGCTGGTGTAACCTTTCATCCTGTTTAACTTGTGAAATGCAGAGAGGCGGCTTATTGGGTGCATTGAGAATTTTAAACACAGCAGGAACACAGGACAAGAGGTTTTGTGAAAAAACTGGGAGGAGTGGCTGGAAAGAGCTTCCCCTGCCTTGGCTTAGCTGTTGGACTAAATGAAACACTACTGAAGTTCTCTCTGACACTTGACTGTGCAAATAGGAACTGGTTTTTACCATGTCCTCCCAGCCTGCTCCGAGGAGGGAACTGTACCCATGACTGCGGAGGTTCCCTCTCAAAATGATTCAATGATCTCGAGGAATAAGATTTGAAAGAGTCTCATCCTCTAACAGGCATCCCGATTGGCATCCTGAGTTCGGCATCCTGATTCCGCCTTCCACACGGGACGGAAAGCAGGGCGATCCGCGTACTGCCTCCCCCGCCCTCCCGCAGTGCTTTGAGCACCAAAAAAATTCCGTTACAAAAACGCCGCGATATCGAGCCGAGGTGACAAATCCCACACCGCGGGGCTACAGACGCTTCCCACTCAGGCGGCGCCTTCAAAGGTACACACACACAGACAGACAGACACACACACACAAAGCTATCCCGGGCCGGGCTTTCACAAACCCGGGTGTGCGGGAGGGCCTGCGGAGCATCCCGCGGGTACCCGCGGGGCGCCGGGGACGGGGCGGGCGCCGGGTCTGCGGCTTCCAACGGGGTGCGTTGCCCCTTTAAACTGTGTGTCCCCAGCCCTCGGGCGTCCGTGTCCAACGCCCACGTCAGCAAATACCTTTTGTTTCTTCTCCCCCCTTTTGCTCGGGCTGGCGGGGCGCGGGGGGCTGCGGGAAGAGGAGGAGGAGGCGGCGGCGTCGCCTTGCAAAGGCACGGCGAGCCCCGAGGCGGGGCCCCCGGGGGGGGATCCCCCCTCACGAAACCCGCGGCAGCGCCCGGCGAGCGGCCCTTCTGCCCCCCCCCCGCACACCCGTGGGAAGGAGCGGGCGGGCGGCGGGAGCGGCGGCGGCAGCACCGGAGCGGCGGCGGGTCGGGAGGGGACGCGGCAGCCCCGGCGGGCGCCATTTGCAGCCCCGGGCGCGGCAACAAAGGGCTGCGCGGGGCGGGCGGGGAGTGCGGGAGCGGGAGCGCCGGGAACACCGGGAACACCGGGAACACCGGGAACACCGGGACCGGGAACACCGCCGGGCATCGCGCGGCGGCGGCGGCACCGAGGGAGCGGCAAAGCCCGCCGAGGGAGGCTGCGGGCGGCGCGTCCGGCCCCGGGGCGGTCCGTGCCCGGGGGATGGGGATGGGGATGGGGAGCGCTCGGGCGGGCGGGTCCGGCGCCGTCGGGCGTCCCGGGGACAGAGGGAACGACTCCGAGGGACGGAGGCCACCGAGAGCGGCCCCCGGTGCGCCGGGCAGGGGCTGAGCCCGCCGCGCACCCGCGTCGGCCGCGGCTCTGCCCACGGCGGGAGGGCCGAGCGCTCCCGCTCGGTCCGAGAACCATTAACGCCTTGGCGGATGCGATCTTCGTTCTTTCGGGATACTAAGTAATCCCCGCTGGCGCGTCTTTCCGCCTCTTCTGGAGTTGTTAAGTTTCTTCTCTCGTGTTCCTGTAGCAGCCGCAGGGGCTTGGGAGATACGCTGGGAATGTGATAACGTTTTTTGAATTGGAGCTCGTCTCTTTAGATAAGGGTTCAGCAACGCTGATGCAGATTGTCACGATGATGTTTTTTCCCTTTACAGCAAACCCTCCTCTCGCTCCCCGCCTGGGATGGAGATTTCTTCTCACCAGTTTCACCTCCTGGAGCAGCTGAACGAACAGCGGAAGCAGGACTTGTTCTGTGACTGCAACATCCTGGTGGAGGGAAAGGTCTTCAAAGCCCATCGCAATGTGCTGTTTGCCAGCAGCGGCTACTTCAAAATGCTCCTTTCACAGAGCTCGAAGGAGACGAGTCAGCCAACAATAGCTACATTCGAGGTCTTCTCTCCAGAGACGTTCATGGTTATCCTGGACTTTGTGTATTCAGGGATATTGTCTTTAACCGGTCAGAATGTGATCGAGGTGATGTCAGCTGCCAGCTACCTGCAGATGACAGATATTCTCAGTGTCTGTAAGACCTTCATCAAGTCCTCCCTGGATATTAATGAAAAGGAGAAGGATCATTACCTCAGCCTCTCGGCCAAAAGCACGAGCACTGAGCCTGCCCGTCCCGCCCTTTATCGCTCCAGGAGGAAAGCAAAGAGCAACCCCCGGCGTTCCTACTCCGTCCCGGATGAAAAGCCCGGCGTGAACGAAAACTCCTGGAGCAGCTACGGCAGCTACCTGTCCTCGCAGGTGATTCTGCAGCGGGCAGAGACCCAGCTGTCGAAAAGAGGCAGAAAACAGGGCTCGGGCAGGAAGCGCCGGAAGCACCTGGGCCTGTCCCAGAGCCGGGATTTGGGACAGGGCAAACCGGACAGAGCCGGCGCCTCGGATTCCAGCCCCACTTCCAGGGTCGGGGAGGAGGCCGAGTTTGATGCAGAGAACGACGTGGGTCGAGATGATTACGGGTGTCATCGCGGCTCGGAGGCGGTACCCAAGAGATGGTCTGTTACTCAGCTAGAACAAGAACTTTCCAGAACTCCCGAGTTCGTGGAGTTAAAGGCAGAAGAACTGTACACCTCGATGCCCACGATTTTGGGTGTAATGAGTAGTTGGAACGAAGGTAAAAAAAAAAAAAAAGAGGAACGGTTTGGAAAAGTTTGGCTTTATCCAGGAGGATTCAGGTGATGTTTTGGAGAGAGTTTGTAGGGCTGCATGGAAACCAAAACAGTGCCTAGACATAGAGGTGAATTTATCTGCTCAGGAATGACTTTGCAGCCAGAACAGGGCATGGGAAGTGGGATGGGAGAGCATTACCCAGGACTGAATTTCTCTTGTAGATCCCCAAACCTGGCACTAATAGTTCAACCTCAATCCAACTCAATTCCTTCACGTGAGAGGTCCTGGCACTGCTGGGAGGTTGCATTTCCCTTGGGGTCCAACCAGCCCAAACTTTGTGCCTGTTTGGCCACAAACATAAAGCATCTGAGCTCCTGATGGACTGTCAGCATCTGCCTGAGAGGGTGGGATAAAGATGACAGGTCTATTCTCATGTATATTCTTTTGGGAATGAACATATTATTCATATTGTAATGGCATATTCTGAAGACTTTAGGCACCCTGATATATTAAACAGAGATTATAAACGTCAAAGCTATGAACCATTAGCTGATGGAAAAGCTAATGGTTCAGACAGTACAAATATATATAATAGCTACATATTTATGATCATCTGTATGTCTAAAAAATAGCCCCAGTAAGATAGAAAAAACACTTTAAAATGGCCATTTAACATGCTCAGTGAGAAGAACGGGCTTGGGGGGGGGATAGATATATTTTACATATTAAATATATTTTATATATTTCAGGTGTTTTATCTATTTCACATATTTTATCTATTTCATATATTTTATAGATGAAATACATTTTAGAGATGAAATACATTTTAGAGATGAAATAAATTTTAGAGATGAAACACATTTTAGAGATAAAATACATTTTAGAGATGAAATAAATTTTACGGATGAAATAAATTTTACGGATTAAATAAATTTTATAGATGAAATGCATTTTTAGATGAAATGCATTTTTTAGACGAAATGCATTTTATAGATGAAATACATTTTATATATGTGCATACACGTGTATACACGTGTGTATATACCCCCAAAGCCCATATTTTACATTGTTGTGGATTGTATTTCATACATTATATATTCTATTTTACATCTTACATATTATAGAATCATAGAATCAGCTGGGTTGGAAGGGACCTCTGAGATCATCAAGTCCAACTCTTGTTCCACTACTGCTGCAGTTGCTAGACCATGGCACTGTGTTACATCATGTCACATGATATTCTGAGTGGGAAGGGACCCACAAGGATCATCAGTGGTCCATGTGGGGATCAAACCCACAGCCTTGGCACTATTAGCACTGCTAATAGTTCCAACCAACCAACCAACCGAGTTAATGACTCTGACAACACATAATACGCTTATATAAAATATTTGGGGGTTTTCCCTATTTGCTGCCGGAGCAGGAACTGCCCCTTTCCGAGCTGACAGCCCTCCCCTGTGCCCCCCCCCCGGCAGGTGACCTGCCCCGCATGAGGTTCAAGTGCCCGTTCTGCACTCACACCGTCAAGCGCCGCGCGGACCTGAAGCGGCACCTGCGGTGCCACACCGGGGAGCGGCCGTACCCCTGCGAGGCCTGCGGGAAGAGGTTCACCCGCCTGGAGCACCTGCGCAACCACTTCCAAACGGTACGGTCCGGCCTTCCCGCTGGGATACATCCCGGCAGATAAACCCACGGAGGGTTCCGCTGGTGCGAGCCGCCCGGGCGTTTCCAGCGCCGGCGCCCCAAAAGCTTCCTCGAAGCTGCGCGTCGTCGACCTTAATTATTCATCATTTAACTTGGCGGATCGCGTTTAAAATTTTGTTAAAATGTCCTTTTTTTTTTTTCCGGATCCCTCTCCAGATCCACCAGGCCGGCAAACTGATCTGCAGGAAGTGCAAGCGCCAAGTCACGGAGCTGACGGGCTGCGTGGTCCAGCAAGGGACGCGGCGCTACAGACTGTGCCACAAGTGCTTGGCAGAAGCCAGTTTGGACAGCAGCACCCCCGAGGATTTCGATGCAGGACATTCCCTTGTCTCCTCTTCCGCGGGGAACAAACGCCCCAAATGGGCTCTGGAGGAGGAGGAGGAGGAGGAGCAGAAATCAGATGAAGAGACAGCGGAGGAGGAGCCGTATAATTTGGTTGTCCGACACACTAATGATGATGTTCCAGATGAGGTAGAGGAAAAGGTGAAACCAAATCTTAGGTAGATATTTGTGTACTTGTTACTCGTTGTATTCGAGGTTAAATTGCTCGCGTCCTACCGACTAAATGCTGGTTTGCTACTTGAATTGAAATGAAGTATTGCTGAAATTCTATTTTGAGAAGCAAAATTTGGGCTAAAACAAAGTTGTTTTGTACTTGCAGACATGGAACAGTGTAACTGCTTCTAAATATCATCCAGAAAGTACTGAGAATCATAAGATATCCTGAGTTGGAAGGGACCCACAAGGATCATCACAGTTCATCTCCTCACTTATTATCTGGAAACTATTTAGAAGAATTGGGTTATATTTCATCAAGGACTTGCCCAGAGCTCCTGCTCACAGTGAAAGCAGGAACCAACCTACAGTTCTACAAAGGTTCTGTATGATACAGATTTTTTACAAAGCAAAGACTGCAAACTTGCTTTGAGAAAGTCTTACTGAAGTGAGCAGCTAAGAAACGCTGGCATTGTAATTAACTTGTACATACACTTCAAAAACTTCCCAAGAAAGGAGCAAAGGAAACAAGTGGAATTCTTCCTGCTGAAGAACTTATTGACCAGATCTTTGGTTTTTTTGTTTCTTTTTTTTTTTTAAGTGAACTTAACTGCTTCTTAGAGTTGAGAAAAGCATGATTAAAGAATTCCCACAGCCAGAGTAGAGTAGTGACCAGAGCATATGTAGTGCACTTGGGTAGTATGACTTTGCCTCTTTTGTACTGTGAATTTTATAGAAAGATACACCAACGTGGTTCCAAGGAAATAAAAGTGCAATCACTGGAAATACCTTGTCAGGTTTTTTTCCTTAATTATTTTTTTTTTCAGGACTGGTGCAAGATTTCCTTAAACTCCTGTTCTATCTTATTCTAGGAATAAAGATGCCAAGTTTAATTTCAGTGGGACAGTTGTGGTTTAGATCACGGAGCTACTTCAAGAAAGGTTTTTCTGCTCATACAAATTTAGGATGCTTGACAGCATAAAAAACATTTGTTTCTAAGGACAAAATCCCTCAGAGGCAAAGCAACCTTTGTAATTCTGGAGCCTCCTCAGCTTTTTTACTAACGGTGTTTTTTTCCCCCAGTCATTTGGATCAGAGAACCTGCACTTGGTACAGAAACTCAAAATGCTCAGTGGTAAAATGATTAGAAAAATTACATCTCAGGGGGAGTGTACAGTACAAACATTCTGCCTGGGAGCAGAGAATGGCACTCCCAGTGGGTACTGTTGATAAAGAGCCACTGTTTGGTCTCATGTCTCGCCTGGTGCCGTGTTTTCTTTCCTGGTAGCAGCATCTGTAGCCTGAGGTTACTGCCAAGCAAGTGAAAATTCCCTGCAGGGAATCTGAGAACAGGCCTATTGATTCACATCCAGGTTCTCCAAGAGTTGCCATTAAACCAGGAGAATGGGGTGAGCCTGCATACCAATTCCCCAACTCTCCCAAACTCCAGCCTTTTTCAATTTAAGGGTTTTCCTTGCCTTGGGATTTGTACCTTTGGGAACCACCAATGCAGGTCTTTTCCAAGTACTTCACCACTCTGCCCTTAAACTCATCTAACCTTCCTCCATGAACAGCATCCTTTGGTACCCCCAGAAGGGTTTGCAGTCTGAGCATGTTTTTTAATTACCCAGTTAATTGTCTCAGTGGGTCCCCAGCTCGGTGAGAGGCTGCAGCCAAGGCATGGGGCTCCTGTAGAGCCCTGGGAGAACAACACTGTGAGCTAAAACCTGCCCCTGCAAATGGAACAAGGCGGATTTGAGGCCTGTTTTGCAGCAAGCACTTAATAAATACTGAAAAAGAAACAGATGAGTAACACTTACTTAGTTCATTCCAAATGTTTTTCTAGCAAGTTCCTGCCAGCACTTGAAAAAGCAGAGCACTTCACTTGCTGCAGCCAGAGGCACACGAGGCATCTCAGCATTGGTCTCCAAAGTTAAAATTTAACTCTGTTCGTTTTTTTCCTCGCCTTTTAGAGAGCTGGACAAAAGGCAAGGCTGCCCCAGCGCTGCCCTCAGCCCCTCACCCACCTCCCCACAGCCCCACTGATGCCCTCAGAAAAGAGTCCACTCACCTCAGCAGGGAGCAAAGTACAAGTGTCTGGATTGGCCAGCCAAAAATCACACACAAATCCACGGCTCCTTTCAGTCCCAGTTTTATTTCGGCACGCTTAAAAAATAAGAGGGGTTTTTATCCCTCAGTCTTTACAATATGGAAACAAAACCAGATCTATTTAAGCTGACTTTGCAAGGTAAGACATTACCTCCAGAGCTGAGGCACGTGAAGCATTCACAATAACAGGTCAGGGCTGTGCTCCCCACATTTAAATAGCAATGGCAGGTAACACACCTTTGCCAACCTGTGATTTAAGACAAAACACACTTTCCATTATCCTTGATTAATTTTGATTCAGTGAAGCCCATAATCCTTTGACATTAAAGGACTCTCTTCATTGTCCTTTCTAAAGGGTGATCCAAACCATCTGCTATTATAAAGAGAATCCTTTTTCACAAGACACAGTTGGGAGTGAAGCTGCAGAGAGCCTGGGGCACCCCTTTCCAACCTGGTGCATCTCCTGGCAGAGCTGCCAACTTTTCAGGGGGATCAGAGGTGATATGAGGGTTCCAGGTACATGGTCACATGCTTTAGGATTTCAGGTGGAAATTTATTTACAGCAATTCAGCACCACCTGCTGGCACGACTTTTAAAGGTGTGGTGGTTTGGTTTTTTTAATTGGTTTAATTTTTTTTTTTTTAGGTGTCTTTTCGACAGTCAGATTTTTTTCCACATTAAATCTGAGCCACTGCAGCTATTTGGGATTTGTATAAAATGGAGGAGGGATGTCAGCTCAGAATTAGAACAGTGAAATCTGCAAAGGACATCACGTAGATGAACATTTTCTCCTGCCACCCTACAAAAAGGCAGCATTTTAGTTAGGACCTCCACTAATTTCTGTATTTCATACAGAATACCAGCATTCCTGGGAGATTTCCAACTCCTACAGATCTCTTCTTCTCAACATCCCCCAAACCCCCAACTAGTTCTTTTTATTTTCTGTCTCACCATCTTCACATGAAAACACTGGCTGACATTCCCTGCAGTTACTCCCTTCAATTTATGATTTTAACTGCCCAATTCCTTGGTTACTTTCACAGGGATTACAGTTTTAGGGGACTTTTGCCAGCCCATAATATCCACTTGGCCATACTTTTTCTTGCTTTAAATATCAATGATGACAAAGACTTCTGGCTTTTCATCCTCACAGATCTGCATCGCTGAGTAAGTGATGGCTTTGACCTCTGTGCCCTGGAAAAGAGACACAAACCCAGGGATTTTCTAAATGATCTCCTTTGTCACAGTTCCTAACACATAGTTCTTACCACTTCCCTCAAATGCTATCCAGTTTCATAGATCTTCTCCCCCAAAAAACTGACTAATAAGAAAAATGCCATGCTATTAAAAAAAAAAAGGAGCTCTTCCTTTATTTTACTGCCTCTTAACGCCACAAATTTCTCCTCTTGCCTCTGACAGACCATCCCCACGTGCTGTGCTAAAAGTGACAGAGCTAAAGAGCTGGTAGGAGATCAGGATTTGCTTCTGGCAGTTCTTTAGGGGGGAAAAAAGAAGAAAGAAGCAAAAACTGGCTAAGCCAGAGGCTGTGCCAATAGTGTGAAACCCAAACCCACGTGCACATTCTGAATAATGGTTGGTTTTCTGTGTTATCAGCATCACAAAACCAAAGCCAACTGTTGAGTTTTGCTAGTGCTGAGGAGAAGTCAGGCTCAGGTCAACAGTTTAAGGAACACATTCACAAAAAAAAAACCCCAAAAGTTTAGTGCCTGTGATTCCACCCAGTCATGTTTGTACTTGGATCCCTGGAGGACTCTGATTTAAAAGACACCACACCTCCCCCTCCTAAATGGAAAAGATGGACAGAGGAACCACTGCATACCTGTGGGTGTTTGCCTAAAGAGAACTCTTCTCCCCACCTTTAAAAGCAAAAAGAAGAGAGGTTGGAACTTTGGTAGTGTTCACCAAATGCGATAATTAGCTTCACTGATGAGTATAGAGCAGTGAGATTTTCATTTAGAGCCTCAAAAGCAGCAAAAAAAAAAAACAAACAACTCCATCCTCCACTTTTTAGATGATGGTTTAAGCTCACCCAATTGATCTGATTTTGAATTGCATTCGGTCGATGTGAAGCACTTTCACCTCCTGCAGAAAAAGGGAGGAGAAATATTTCAGTCACATCTCCCACCTTCAGGCAGAAAATGTCAGCAAGCCCTACTTGTAAGGCTCATATTTCACTGTTTAGGTGGAATGTAAAACCAGAGAACCTGACATACACTGCTACTTGGAACACCAAGGCAGCAGAACGTGTAACAGCAGCTAATAATTGGTGCTTGTGGTAACAAAGCTTAATGATTTCTCGAGTTTTTCTGCCCTGGGAGTTCCAGTTCCCCACATGTTGTGCTGAAACAGAATCAGAGAATTGTGGAGCAGTTTGGGTTGGAAGGGACCTTAAAGCTCATCCAGTCCCACCCCCTGCCTTGGGCAGGGACACCTTCCACTAGCCCAGGTTGCTCCAAGCCCTGTCCAGCCTGGCCTTGTATTTGTCATGTTCCTTTTTTTTTCCCTAAAACACCATTTCTATCAGAGCTGGTATTATCAGGGAACAGCCTTGTCCTACAGATGGAAAAGGATCAAACCAGGACACTTACCCTGGGTACAAAGAACTCATTAGCACTGAATTTATACAGCCACTCATCCAGGAGGTGGAAGAGGAGAGACAACATGTCGTGCCCTGCATGGTTGAAGCAGAGATGTCAGTTGTTGCCTCAGCAAGAACATCCAAACACTTTTTAAGAGGACATCCATCAGATGTTCAGCTTATCAGAAGACTCAGATTAGTGACGTTTAATTATATTTTAATTAAGTGCAGTGCCATCTCATGTAAAGATTCAGATTTTTGGTACCTTTTTCCCCTCAGGTTTCATAACTCCCCCCATGAAAAGTCAACACAGCCTCACCTTCTGCCTCCACCTCTACTGTATCCACGGGCTCCACGGTCTCTGTGTCCGTCATGTAGCCAAACATGGCCATGACACACTGCTCAAATGCCTCCTCCAACGTGTCCCCCCAGGCATGGAGCCTAAAAGGACATGGGACAACTCACTGCACAAAGAGAAATAACCCCAAAGCAACCTGCAGGGGAGCAACCAGAACAATGAGAACGGGAGAATTCATGCAGAGGAGCTGAATGAACAAACAAACAAACAAAACTTGCTTTCCAGAAAGGGAAGGGTTTGTGAGAAGAGCTTCTTAGAATATGGAAAATAAATGTTTTACAGCCACCAAGGAAATTCTTCCTTGATATGGTTAATTGATGGCTGCACAAGCAGACTAGGCAGAAGAAATTTGGTTTAAAAGAGGTGAAAATGAGATTTCAAAAGACATTTCCAAATAACACACAGGCTTGGTCAGAAGCACTGCTGGAATATTAGAAAAGGAACTGAACATGATTCTGTGTTCTCCCAAAAGCAGAAGCAAAATTTACCCCCAAAACACCCAGTGAGTGACATTTCATAGTTCCACCAGGTGTTACACCTACAACCAGTCTTTGGCAGTTACTCCAGACTTACAGCAGTGCAAGAAACAATGAGTTTATCACAGTGAGAAATCCCAGCTGCCCAACACTTACTGGACATCTGCTGTGTGATCCAGATCTGAGGGGAAGGAAAAAGAGAAAAGCCATGATGCCACCAAAATTATTTAAAAAACAGGGATTATATAAAATATAACATCGATATCTGATTCTCTAACAAGAACTTTCTGCAGTCATCCCAGACATGACAAATCTAACTCTGCAGTATATTAGAAAAATCCAGCACAGGGGGAATTTTGGATTATTTCTGCCAAGCATAAAAACCCCCCTGTTTAATGTGATTGTGTGAGTGCCCTCTGTGTCCAGCTCTGTGTGCAGGGTTTAGCTGTTGTAACCCAACAGGCTTCTACAAGTTAACTGCAATAAAAAGGAAACTTTAACCAGGACTGAAGAGTTTATGCTGAAGTCTGCAGGACTGAAAATTATTCATGCAGAGGATGAGATTTGCAAATATTTCCAGCTCAGTGAGGAAATACACCTGTCCACACCCAAAAAACCCATTAGGCAAAGAGAAGAATTTAAAACACAGTAGGGAGTATAAAATAGAAAGCAAACTTTACTAATAAAGCATGATTACCATGTATTGAGTTTTACATTTATATTTATTCAGAGGAGTGAGAGAAATGCAAAATTACCCCAAAATTTTGGCAGAGACAGAACCAATTTGGGATGCAAAATAAATGCCACACTACGATCACTTCAGCTAACAGATTGTCCTGATGCTGTTTAGAGAGTTCACACACTGTTAATGGATTCTCAACAACAGTCTCTAAAGCAAACAAATTCCAGTGCATGTAAAAAGAAAGATAAAACCTCTCCCAGTTATGGAAACTGCGTGACTACTGTAGTATGTCACAGTATCTCTGCCCTGCTATCAAATAAAGATCTGAACACCTCCTAAAAATATAAATTCTAACAGAGGAATAGGCACAGTCCCTCCAGACAGACATGGAAAACACACAGGGAATGATCTCCTGCCTGAAGTTGGCCCTTGGGCTGCCACCTACTCACTTGACATCCTCTTAGAAGCCATTCCAGGGGTGGGGAAAGGAGAGATAAAGATCTTTAAGTAGAGTATGTAGGAGTAAAAACACCACAGAGAAGACCAACACACTCTTGAATGTCTCTTCCTGTATGAGAGAGGTAGAAAAATGTCCTGCCTTGCTAAGAAATGGCTTGGAATTCTTGGGTTTGTGTCTGATGAAGGAACATTCACAACTTCTGTGATCAGGTCTGAGATAAATGTTTGATACAGTTCTTTAGGGGTTTTTGTTTGTTTTATTAAAAGAATCAGCAAGCAAAGGGACACAGGACAACCTTGGCACTTGTGTGACAGCCAGATCTGCCCCACACGAGCTTCCAGGGCTGAAGGTTTCAGTCTAATCTTTGTCCTAAGAGAAAGCTAGGCTTTTTTTTTCCCTAAAGAAAAATCCCCTATAAGTCATGTCAAGGGCTTTTTGGAGGCAATGACACCCAGGGAAAGTTTTCAAGGTGACACTTTAGTAATTTATTTTTACCATGATTTTTTTAGCACCCAAAGCAAGAAAAGCATTTGTCTGTGACAAAGGAAATTGGAGATCTTTCTCTCTGTGTCCTGCTATTTTCTGTGCCCTCATGATTGCAGTGTCACACACACACTGGATCAGGAAGTCATTATTTTAAATATATATAACTATTTTGAAACTATGTAAAATATATCTAATAGGTAAAATATACAAACTGATATATAAGAGATATAAAATGTGTAATAAAATTATAAAATACAAAACTTAGGTATAAAATATATAATCAAACATACAAAATATGTAGCAAATGTTTATTATTGTAAATACTCACATTCATATTTCTTACAGAGTGGAGGGTATTTGGCCTTGACAGCCTTCTGCTCCTCTGTCAGGTTGTAATCCCTCTCATCTGCTGCCATGGCCCTGGGATCCAACTCTCCCTCACTTCCTGGGGGTGGAAAACACGGCCACGTCCTGGAGTGACTCAACCTGCTGACGCTGTGGAGAACAGGGAGAATTCCTCAGTTCAGCCTCTCTCCCCTGAGAGCACCTCGGGAACACTCAGCCACAGGCTCAGCTATTCCAAAGGAGTCCTCAACACACGGAATTTCAGTTGTTTCTGTCCCAGCTGGGAGGTGGGAGAAGGTGGGAGTTCAACCCCACAGCACTCGCCCCACGAGTGTGTTCGGCCACGGGAGCCAAGGGATGACATTCCTTATGGAAATTGTGGACTTTGGGCTTTCCTGGCCATAATCTCGTTTCTCCCTCCTTACTGTGAATGTGCTGAGCATTCCATCTGTCCACAGATAATAAAATACAGCTGTAAAGTGAATGAAACTTTCATACTTCAGGTGACCGCTCCTGAATTTTACAGCTCAGCCCACTGTGCATCCCACAGCCACCTGCAACACCACTGCCTCCAAAAAACCCCTAGACATGGCTTACAGGGGAAAAAAAGTCTAGTTTTCTCTTAGGTCAAGGATTAGATTTAAACCTTCAGCCCCAGAAGCGAATTCTTGGCAAATCTGGCCATCACACAAACGCAGAGGTTTTCCTGCATTCCATTTTCTTCCAGTTCTTTTTAATTAAAAAAAACCTGAAAAAACCCAAACAACTGCACCAAACCCCCCATTTAAAAGCCTAATTCTCAGAGCTGACCTTAGCAGGTCCACCAGACTCAAACTGAAGAACCTGCTTAACTCCAAGGCAATTAATTTTCCTCCCCAGATTTACAGACATAACAACCACTGTCACTATTTCTTTTTCTTTTTTTTTTGGGTGCATTTTAAGATTTACCCACAGAGGAGCCCAACACTTCCCCAAACAACGCAAATTATAGATTTATAGATATCCCGTAACATCCAGGCTACTTTTAAACAGGAGTTGGTTCTTAATTCCAAGGCTTAGAAGCAAGATACAGCATTTCCAACTTCAATTTTTAGGTGTGTTGCAATGAGAAGCCTGAAACTGAGAAGCCAGGGCTCCTGTGGGGAAATAAACCCAGATACTGATTCGATATTTGATATTTGCTGTGCGATTTTTGCTGTTGGCTGTGGATGGTGAGACCCCACGTTACCCTCAGCAGCCGACCAGAACCAGCAAATATTACGCCTGTAAAGCTCACCGCCTCACCGAACTGTGTGGGGGGAAGGGAAGAAATTAATGCCTATAGATAATTAGTGGTTATAGATAATTAATAACAAGCCGAGGATACTCGAAGGCGTCAGGGGCAGCCCTATGCGGAGGGAGGGCGGGCCGCGCCTCGGCCCACACACGCACCGGTCGGGTCCAATCCCGCTCCTACACGCTCTGTGGTGACCGGAGGGAACCGCGGTCACGGTTCTTTCCACTCGGGAACCGGGACCGCGAACCGGGAACAAACCCCAAACCCGCCGCCCCCTCAGCGCGGGGGTCGCGGCCCCTTTAAGACCGCGAGCGGGGGTTGGGGGGTGGGAAGATGGCGGCTCTCGCTGAGGGCAGGGAGCGCTGCCACGTGACCGCGGCGCGCGCTCGCGTCCCCGCCCCGCCCCCTCCCGCGCCTTCGGCGATTGGCCGCGGCGCGGCGGCGGCGGGCGCTGATTGGGCGGCGTTGGCGCGCGAAGGGGTGCGCGCGGCGCCCGGGGGAGCCGCGCGCAGCGGGGGCAGGAAACAATAGGGACGGAGCCGCGGCCGTGAGGGCTCCGAGCGCCCAGCGCAGCGACCGCCTCGCCCACCCGCGCCTCAGCCCCGCGCCCCGCCATGGCGGACAAGGAAGGTAAAGGCTCCCGTATGGGCGGCGCGGCCTCCGCCGTGAGGCGCGGGGATGTCCCCCCCCTCCCCTCGCCTTTCCTCCTCGCGGCGTGAGAGGAGCGGGGGCGGCGCCGCCAGGGGGCGCTCGAGCCCCCCCCCCCCCACCGTCATGGCCGCCGCCAACTCCCCGCGGCACCGGCCGGGTGGTTCCACCGGGACCCTCCGTGAGCCCCCGGGAGCGGGGTTGTGAGGCCCCCTTCGGCGGGGTGAGGGGAGCGGGGAAGGGCCGTGCCATGCGAAGGGTGCGGGCAGGACGCGGTGGTGCAGACAAAGGTGTCACCGGCCGCTGCCGCGCCACGCGGGGGTGCCCCGGTTCCGTACGGGAGCTCCGGTTCAGCGGGGCCGCCCTCCCCTTTCCTTTGGGATGCCCCCGTTCCGTAGGGGTGTCCCGCGGTTCCACAGGGCTGCTCCCAGTTCCGTGGATAAGCTCCCGTTGCACGGGGGCGAACCCCCGTTCCCTGGGGGAGAGCCCCGGTACCGTGAGGCTGCTCCCGTTTCTGTGGGAGTGCTCCCGTTTCCACGGGACAGCCCCGGTTCTGTGGGGCTGCTCCGGTTCCGCGGGGGTGTCCCCGTTCCGCGGGTGAACCCCCCCAGGTCTGCCCGCCCCCGTTCTCCTCCTCCCGCGGCGGAGGCCGGTGGCAGATGGGATGAGAAAAATGTGTGAGAGCAACCAGGCAGCAGAAGGAGCCTCGGAAAACTGGATTTTTGGGAACTACTAGTTCAAGGCTGCGCCCAGACTGGCCTGTTTAACAGCGGTTGGTGGGTGTCCTGCTTTTAAACGTTGTTACACGTCTGGGCTTTGCCTCCGCGGTGCCCTGTGCCCTAAGTTTTAAAATTTTATTGTGCTGCTGCTGACAACATGATCATCACTGAACCACCACAGAATGGTTTGGGTTGGAAGGGAACTTAAAGCTCATCCAGTCCCACCCCCTGCCCTGGGCAGGGACACCTTCCACTAGCCCAGGTTGCTCCAAGCCCCGTCCAGCCTGGCCTTGGACACTTCCAGGGATGAAATTTGACATAGTTAATATTAATTCCGAGCCATATATCCAGAATAAAAGGATTAGCGTGTGCAACAGGGTATTTTTAATTATCTAAGAACCAGTAGAGCATCCAACAGCAAACCAGGGTGTGATGTAGTTGGCTCTAATCCATTGCCTGCTCATGGTGATGTGTGTCTTTAAATACAGGCTAATTAATTGTATGTATTTTTTTAAAAACCCACTTCAGCAGCCTTTGATGATGCGGTGGAAGAACGTGTGATCAACGAGGAGTATAAAATATGGAAAAAGAACACCCCCTTCTTGTATGATTTGGTGATGACCCACGCCCTGGAGTGGCCCAGCTTGACTGCTCAGTGGCTTCCTGATGTCACAAGGTAAATTAATCCTTTTGTTTTCTAGTTAAAGCAGAATAAATAGTAAATCCAGGATCACTTTTTGTTAAAGTAAGGCAGTGTGTAATTCCTTTCTGTCTTAATAACCCCCTGCCTTGCCAACAGCAAGTTGAGGACTCTCAACACCAGAGATAATCAGTACAGACATTTTTAATTTGGGAAGATGTCTTCTGTTATGGAGATGTTTTCACACATTTGATTTTAATGTTTTTCTTATTCCAGGTTCACCCATCCCTTCAATAAGCAAAAAACTCATTAGAAATAGAGTTAGATATAATCTGAAGAACCACCATTTTGTCCTAAGCTTCCATAACCACGTTCTGAGTTGTACTTGAGCTGCTAAAATCTCTTAAAGGAGGGCAGGGGAGTGGTGGTCTGTTGTGCTGAGAGAATTTTAGGTTGAGCTCTTAAAATGCCAGACTGGTTTGGGTTGAAATGGAAGTTATAGATCATCCAGTCCCACCCCCTGCCATGGGCAGGGACACCTCCCACTAGCCCAGGTTGCTCCAAGCCCTTTCCAGCCTGGCCTTGGACACTTCCAGGGATGGGGCAGCCACAGCTTCTCTGGGAAACTGTGCCAGGGCCTCCCCACCCTCACAGGGAAGGATTTCTTCCCAATATCCCATCTAAATCTCCTCCTTTAGGTGTGAAGCCATTCCCCCTTGTCCTGGCACTCCGTGCTCTTGTAAAAAGTCCCTCTCCATCTTTCTTGTGGGACACCTTGAGCTGTGATAAGTGATTTCCTCCAGAGGAAGCAGGTTTTTCATTGGGACGGGAAAACAACCATAAATTTGAAGATCCTTATTCTGTCAGAAACTGCAATAAAAAGTGTTGTAATGAGCCCAGTGTTTGTGACCCCTGCTTTGCTCCTCTCCCCTTGCAGACCTGAAGGCAAAGATTTCAGTATCCACAGGTTAGTCCTGGGCACCCACACCTCAGATGAGCAGAATCACCTGGTCATAGCGAGTGTGCAGCTGCCCAACGACGATGCCCAGTTTGATGCCTCACACTATGACAGTGAGAAAGGAGGTAAGGGCCCAAAGGGGTGGGTTTTAACCATATTTTCCTCCCCTTTCCCAATAGAAAATTCGCCTTCTCTCAACGTTCAGGCAGCAAGATTCACTTCTACTTCTCAACTGAACCATTTATTTCTGTGTTACCCCCTTAATGGGGAGATTAAGTGACAAATATGCCCCTTCGTGGATAAACACTCTGGTTTTTGAATGTATGTGATGTCTTAAGAATCTAATGATGAAAACAGAAGGTGGGGGCTTATTGCAAAAACATTTTGACTTGTGGGAAACCTCACCCCTCCCTATTTCTCATCAGGAATTGACATTGAATTCCATGCAGTGCTGCTTATTGGTATTTTTACTGTCACTTTTGCACTACATAAACTCTCCCAATGAGAAAGTCACTCGTGTAGAAGAATATTCTTATATTCTTTTACAGCTTGATAGCTGTGCCAGCCCCTGTTTTATTGTAGAAATTGGTTTCTGTTGTGTTTTATGCAGTATATCAGGCTTGAATTGGATGTTTCCTGTAACCTTTGTGGGTGTCAGCACTGCCACAAGTTAGACATTTCTCATGTTTACTTGACTGAATCAGTCTTTCCACCTGGTGAAAGTCCTTAAATGATCCAATGTTTGCCCTTCGTTTTTCAGGAAGTCTGGATTGTGCAATGAGTATTTTGATCTTTGGGCCTCTTAAGAGTTATTCATGAGCACAATATTGTCTCATAAAGACTTGGTTTCTATTCTATTTTAGTATTTCTCAAAAATACATACTCCGATTTAAAAACAAACCCAAACCCCTCCTTTTGGCCAGAATTGTGCTGTGCAATTTTGTGAAATACTAAGTTACTGTGACTTTTAAGTATAAAGATAAGGGAGCTTTAGCAAGTTGTATTTCAGACCCAATTGCAACTTGATTTTACCAGAACTTGCCTGTTTTGCAGTAAGAGCTTGGCAGCAGTAGTTGAGTCTGAATCCTTGTGTCTTGATCTGAAACTTATTATTCACAACTCCTAAATTCTTACTTCTAGAGTTTGGAGGCTTCGGGTCAGTCAGTGGGAAAATTGAGATTGAAATCAAGATAAACCACGAGGGAGAAGTGAACAGAGCACGTTACATGCCACAGAACCCCTGTATCATTGCCACCAAGACTCCATCCAGTGATGTCCTGGTCTTTGATTACACCAAACACCCTTCCAAACCAGGTGGGTGCTGCTTTGTTCTCACGTACCAGCCAGCCCTTCCCAAAGGAAAGCTCGATGTGGTGAAAAAGAGCTTAAAAAGTTGCCTGGATTACCTGTCATTTGGGGTTTTAGGGCGAAGTGGGTGTTTAGTGTAAGGTTATTTTGTATGAAGCTTCCAAATGTATCCATGGAAAGATAAACCTTGTGCTTTTGCTGGTTATTTTGTCACCTCACTGTGTGTGGTGGTGTTTGGGTTTTTTTGGAAGCTGTGATTTCTTTGGTGGGTAGCTGAGCTGTTCCCCTTGATATCCTGTAAAGATATTAACCTATAAACTCATCAAGATAGTATAGAGTAAATAGTTTTGCTTTTGTGGGGAGGATCAGAAGTGCCTTTGTTACTTTAAAAGTGCAGTTACGGATGATGAGGGAAAGAAAAATATCCCACCAGCAGTTTAGGAGGAGTTTTTGGAGCAGTGACAGATGAGCTGCTCTTCCTCCATCCACCTGGACCAGGTGACTCAGGCCAGAGCATGGAGAGGTGACTCCTGGGCTACTGAAAAAGGCACAGCTAAGTTTAGTAAAGCACAGTAAAACAATGCAGATATTCCAGGATGTGCTGGAAGTGATACCAGGCACTGGAGTTCTTGCACTGCCTCGTTACAGATCCTTCTGGAGAGTGTAACCCTGACCTGCGTCTTCGTGGGCACCAGAAGGAGGGTTATGGGCTGTCCTGGAACCCAAACCTCAGTGGGCACTTGCTCAGTGCCTCTGATGATCATGTGAGTACTTTAAATAGAGCTGAGGTCCAACCTGCACTTTGTGTGCCCTGGGAAGGTCAGGAATGTTCTGGGTTTGAGGGGGAGGAGGTGAAGGGATCATCTGTCTGGAGAAGTAATTTTTTGAGTTTTCTGTTGTTTCAAAGACCATCTGCTTGTGGGATATCAGTGCTGTTCCCAAAGAAGGCAAAGTGGTGGATGCAAAGACCATCTTCACGGGCCACACAGCAGTGGTGGAAGATGTATCTTGGCACCTGCTCCATGAATCCCTTTTTGGATCCGTTGCTGAC